TCTACGAGTCACTCATCATTCCCATCCTGCTATATGGCGCAGAGGCATGGACTATGACAATATCTGATAAGGCGATGATGAGTAGTTTTCTAGAGGAAGGCTCTGSGCAAGTTTTATGGTCGTTTGCGAAATGACGACGAGAAACCCAGTCGATAGAAGCGTGAACTGTACGAGACCGAAACCGAGATTGATAAATTTCAGCGAATCAATAGATAGCGCCTACGATGGCTAGATCATTTTATCCGGATGGATAAAAACTGAAGTGGAGGAGGATGTGGCAGCCCTTGGTAACAGATTAAAGAAGAAACGACTTACGAGCTGTTATTAACTCAACTATAAAGGCATATGCAGTTACGGAAGAAACGTAATATTTATAAACTCTCCTGACTGAACGAGCTCGCCTCGTGGTACACTGCTGATTGAATGTGTGCAAGCACCCGCGTTGCGAGCAAATAAAACCATGCCAAGCAATAAAACCGAAAAAGTAGCGYATCTTTTTTATGATATTTGTGTCTCTGCTGCGCAACGACTACAAATAGTTATATACAAATCTCTACTTGTTTCTTAGGCCTGTATAAATATTATATTTCACCCTCAGCAGAAGTCAAACACCGTTGAGTGCGTTCAAGCAAAAMACTGCTAAATGTGCTTAATTACAGCCACTAAAGGCCAATAACTCGTTGCCAATGGCACASCTCATCTTCGAGTCGCTGAACCGAACGGTAGAGTGATAATTATTCTCCTTAAGTATTTTGGCGCGCCTTCAGGGAGTTGCTTTCATACTTTTCTCTACGCAAATTCCTTCGTTTTGTGAGACTTCAAGTTCTTAACGCTCCATGACAACTATAGGAAGTATAAAATCAATATGAAAGGCGGGTGGCCTCACTTGTAATGGCGGCATTTACGCCCTTAACGGCAGTCATTGTCGYTCGCTGAGTGCTTGGCGTCTTATTGGCGGTCTCGAATGACATATAAAAAGAGAGCAGAGGAAGTACGAGTATGTGAGATGGCATACACAAAAAAGACAAAACAAAGAATGAAAAAATAGGAAAAACGCTGACAGTGCGACATTAGCGTGTAAGGCAGACAATCGTCTTCAAGCTGTTTCCGATATCCTTTAAGCTTATTATGCGTCCTTAACTGTGGTTATGCAGCTACGACAAGGGGACCCCGCCGGAAAATGCATGAACAGCTTTATTTTAAAATTTGTATGGAACTACTCATGTTTTATCACTTTTAATATATTCCGCCGTGATGGAAAAATGTTTTTAAAATAGGCTTTAGTTTCCTCATTCGACGAAAAATTCTTGCCAGCGAGCATACTTTTGARATTTTAAATTAGAAAATAATCGTTGGGAGTCAGACCTGAAGAATACAATGGATGTAGAAGCAATTCGAAGCCTAATTCATGGATTTTCGCCACCATTTCCACTCATTTGGCTTGGTGAAACAGCATTTTACTTTCTTCAAATGTGGTAGCTTCAAACGGTCCAATGTATTAGTCACTGTTGATGGTACTTAATTTTTCAAGGCAGTCAATAAGAATTAATCTATTCTCATCACAAAATACTAACGCTATAACCTTGTCAGCCGATKGTTGCGTTTTACTATGCCTTGAAGCGGGTTCATCGCTTGCCGTAGACTCGGCTAAATGTCGATTGGACTTCGGAGTGAAACGATGGATTTGTGTTTTATAAATTGTCACGTATCGATTACAAACTCGGCTGTATTACGCTTAAATATTTCCAAACGCTGTTCCGAATCATCAAATTGTCATTGTTTTTGGTCAAAAGTGAGCTGGCGCAGGACCCACWTTGACCCACAGAGTTTTCTCTTACCCAAATATTCATAAATGATATGATGAACACGTTCAGTTGATATCTTCAGAGTGTCTGCTATCCCGAACAACTTCACTATGCTATTATAAAAAATTATATTCTGGACTTTTTTGATGTTTTTTCCAGTCTCAACCACTTTTGGGCGTCTACTGGTTCACCGTCTTCGGTGCTCATTTCACCTCATCTAAACTTAGTGCAACAATCTTTGATGGTTGATACTCTTGGGTCAGTACCCGGAAATTCGTCATCAAGCCAAGTTTCTGCYTCAACTGTATTTCTTCTTAACTATTGTATCTTACTAAGAAACATTGCTACTGCTAATATTTATGTATCAATTTTTGGAAAAAAATCTCTTTGTTCCTACAGGGAACACTTTTACCAATTTTAAAACAAGTAATTTCTGCGAGTGTAAGTGCAAAAGGGTTAAGATGCTTTAGTGCTGTGACAAGACGCGCTGCTTTGCGAATGTCCCTTCGTCAATTATACAAAATACTTACCTACTATACATATATATATATATATATGTATATATATATGTATGTAAATGCATACTAATTTAGCACGGAAGCCACTGAGTAATGAAAGCAGTGGCCCACCTGAAGAAGCCATTGACTTTTAATGATGTACTGTGTGCAGTGTTCTTAAAGTGTTTTAAACGTTTAAGGAAAGTAATGAACTTAATGAAAATGGAGTAAAATTTTGGTTATTGACGTTATAGAGTTAAACTTCAGARCTTTCTATTTATATTTTTTATAGCATAAAAGGGTAAAAAATATCCTTTTTTTGATTTTGATCGACCCGTTTGAATGAAAGCTACATGCTTCARTCATCTAATCTGAACAATATGAACGGAGTTTGCAGTGTTCTACAGGATCCCAAATTTCGTGAAAATGCCTTATAAAATAAAAAAAAGTATTTCTTACAAAAGCTTGAGTTTGGTCGGTCGGTTTGTATGTCAGCCATAATTGAARGTATGTGCGCAAAATTTCAGACAGATATTTAAAAAACTGGACTAATTCGAGTATATACAGACTATGCGTCAGTCGGAATGACTTAATCGACTTATGTCGTCATGTTCATCACTTACTTATTTTATAGGATATCCGGTAACGTCGTTCTGGGTGTTACAAACTTTAATAATGCTTTTTCCAAGGTCAAMAATTTTAAAATGAACCCATCTGTTTTTATAGATCTTAAGGTGGGACTTGCTGAGCGTACTATTCGCAACACMCTCWCCCMTCTTGAGACCCAGCATTCATTATTGGGTATTATTCGACCAGTAAGCAGTGAAAAAATTTAGCAGCCATGGTTGMGAATGTACACGAATAMCGTGGAGAGTGGATACGGCGCCGCTCGCAGCAACATGGACTGATGGAGCGGATGGATGGATGGATGGCATTTTTCGACGAGATCTCAAATYAATTGAGTCAATCGGTTTTTACCAGTCGAATTGCTCGAACGAGCAGTCGAAAATTGGACTTAAATAAATGAATGGTTCATAATTCATCTAAAACATAGTTGCGGCTTATATTTGAAAGAGATCATSTTCAAAAAATAAATGACAAGGAAGGTTCTTTCGCAGAATAACACAAACTTCTACTATTCTTGCAGTTTCTCTGTTTGTTCTTTAAAAAATTAGAGAATCTCGAAATGGATCGCCCTTTATAAGGACACTTAGGAGTCACATGTACTTGTCTTATCACAGAATTTTTTAC